TTAGTAGTTAAGAGTTAGTAGTTAAGAGTTAGTAGTTAAGAGTTAGTAGTTAAGAGTTAGTAGTTAAGAGTTAGTAGTTAAGAGTTAGTAGTTAAAAGTTAGGCATTAGTAGTTGTCTCTAATTTTAATAAGTTATTAGTAGTCTCTAAGTTTCTACCTTAGCGCATTTTTTATAACTTTTCTAAAAGCAATCCTAATTATAGAGGATAGAAAGTTCTAAACCTAAAGGCTTTAGTTACCTAGAAGTTAATAAGATCTAGTCTATAGACTAAATAGTTTAATATAACAGTGTGTAAGTATTATAACTAAAACTAAATTAGACATGTCTTAAAGCTTAGACATAGTTAAATAAATAATTAGTGTAATATTATAATAAAGCTGTTACTAGCAAAAGTAAGTTTTTTAATATAATGTAACAGCACAGGCAAGACAATAGGTCTAAATGCAGTAGGAATCTACTTAGAGGCATATAGAAGTGCGTGGGGACTTAGAACCTAGGAATGCTATTAACACCTATAGGCCTTGTATAAAAGGATATTAGAAAACTACTAAGCTAGCTACAGGGGCAAGGTGCAACTAAATACATAGGGGAAATAGGGGTAACAGCAGGGGGCAGGGCAGAGTTGGGGCCAGGTCGAGTCAGGGTTGAGCCAGGGTCGGGGCCGATACGGGGACCCTTCGGATAGGTTCTGGGCGACCTGAGATGGAACAAGAATCGTTACATACCAGGGCAAGTTCTAATAAATAAGGTAAAGTATAGGCAGAACATATTTAAATAGACCTGCATAAATAGAAGAGAGGTAACTAGTACAGAAGGCAACTTTTTAGGCAAAAATAGAAAAGTTACTAGTGTCTATACATAGCAACAGTGTTACAGTCTAGATAGTTATTGCGTAAGAGAAGGATTATGTAGCTATGTTACATAATGCTTGTGTGTAAACCTCTATGTGTAAACATCTAGATATTCCCCTTTTTCTCTGTACAGAGGAAAGGAAGAGCAATAGAACTAGAAACATGTTGCCTCTACCCTACCTACTTTATACGCTGTGCACACTGTACACTACTCTTACTCTTACTACTTAAGTGCTTATACTATAAGCAGCTAGCTAAAAGAGTCTATTCAACAGTAACTTTATTTACACATAACTAAAACTTTACTTTTATTACTTTATATAATTACATTTTATATGTTGTTAAAGTACGCATTTATCTAGTCTATATTAGTAAGAGGTAATAAAAAGAGTGTTAGTGTATCTAGCATGTAATATGTAACACTACTAACTAGATTAATAATTTATATAGTACTAATTAATTTAATTAGTTTTTATTTTTTAAAGCTAATACTTTTCTGATTTAGTGCCTAGTCTACTTTTATATAAGAGAATTTTTATAGGTATGCTTTAAGTTATAACATTTTAATAGTAGAAATTCTTATAGCGCTAGTATTCTATAGTTTACCTTAGTATACTATATAATATTAATTCTTAAGAATAAACTGTTCTGTGTATTCTTTAGGTTTTAGGCTGTGTATGTCCTCTACTGTTGCACAGTAAAGAAATGTAGTAGTAGTAAAGTAGTTAATAATCTTTTTACTTTTTTTATTTAAGTTATTGTGGAGGATAAAATAGCCTGGCAGTAGCTGTTCAGAAGATCGGATGAAGTGACTCTGCTATCTAAGAGAGCCGAAGGCTCTCCTTATATACACTGAGCTTTAGAACATAATATCTCCAGATCCTGAGCTGCGTCCCAGGCTCTGAGCCCCCAGTCCCAGGCTCCGAGCCCCAGTCCCAGGCTCTGAGCCCCAGCCAAGGCTCTTAGTATACGCGACACACCCCCCAGGTGAGCTGCGCAGCAGCTCACCTGCGTTAAGCGTTAACTTAGCTTGTTAGAGCAGCGCTGCGCGTTTACCCTGTGTTTATGCTTGTTACCCTAGGCAGCGCAATAATTGTTTCCCTAGGCAGCACAGGTCACGTGCGTGCTGTAATTACTGCAATAGAGGTAAATAAATTCTGCTGCTTTTTAAGCTTCTTTTCTGTAAGTCCTAACAACATGCTGCGTGTAAGTTAATGCTTTTAAAAGCTCTAAGAATAACTCTAAACCTGTTTATAATCTCTACTAATATGTGTATAAAGCTTAATAAAGCTAAACAAGCCGCTCGCGCGCGTGCCCTGCGGGGCCGCGCTGCCCGCAAGCCCGCTGCCCCCCGCCGCCCTGCGCCTACCACCGCCCGCCGCCCTGCGCCCACCACCCCCTGTCGGCCCGCGCCCCCCGGTCCGGTCTCGACTCCTCGCTGGCCTCCCCCTGGTGTGCTCCGCGCGCAGTCCTGTCTAGGCTGCATAAAGAGTGCGCTCGCAGGGCGCTCTAGTAAGAAGTGCTATAATTCTGCCACTAGCAGTTTACGCTGCTAGCGCTGTTCCTCTAGGCACAGCTGCCTGCCCTTATAAGCCTTATAGTAGTGTATAGGGTAATCTAGCTTTTTAACTTATTTATAGTCCCCCTGTTGCTGTTGTCTATGCGCGGCGCCTTGTTGCAGCGCTTGTTGCAGAGGACAAGCAGGTAAGCTTCTCTGCAGAGATTGTGTGTTATACCCTAGATTAGACTAACAGGCTATAGGCTGTGTCCTAGCTTTAGCTAGTAGTTTAAGCTCTGCTTAAAGAAGATATTGTAAAGAAGGTGGTAGAGAAGAAGGAGGAAAAGGAAGAGGAGGAGGAAGAGGAGGAGAAAGAGGAGGAGGAAGAGGAGGAGGAAGAGGAGGAGGAAGAGGAGGAGGAAGAGGAGGAGGAAGAGGAGGAGGAAGAGGAGGTGGAGGAGGTGGAGGAGGAGGAGCAGGGTGTTGTCTCCCCTAGGCTCCTAGCGCGTTGCTAGCGCGCTAAGGAGCTTTTAGGTAAGCTTGTTAATCTCCTTATAGTTTAGGCATTTTATGTTTTCTATGTTTTTGCACAACTTATGTATTAAATCCCTGCTTAAACTTTATAGCATAAAAAAGTGTCCTTACTAGTAGATAAAACTTTTATTTTTAGGTAGTATAAAAATGTTCTTACTATTAATAATTAACACTTTTTTCTCTTAAAAGCTTATTTATATGTCTTTAAAGTTAAGAAGCTGCTTAAAGTGCTTAAATTACTACTTTAGTAAGTGCTTTATAAGTCTATCTACTAGCATGTTGCTTATTTTAATATAGCGCACTTTAAAAAATCTCTTTGTGTGCTCTTAGCGCAGCTACATGTTCTAAATATTAATGTAGCGCAGGTAGGTAGTTATCTAGGCGTTCTTCTTTACTACTAACCTAATTATTTGCTAGTTATTACAGTAGATCTGCTATAGTGTGCCTAGCTCTAGAGTAAGCTTTTTAAAGAAGCGTTTTAAAGCTAGTAATTTTTTTATAATGTGCGCTAAAGTAAGCAGCTTAGCTTTTGTTATAAATATAGTTACTATTAGCTAAAAAGCTGCTTTCTATAAAATTAGTTTTTTAAAAAGTAAGATAATATATTTATAAAATAATTATCTAGTTTTTATATAATTAGTAAAAGACATGTCTTTATACATAATAAGTTACACACCTTTTAGTGCTTTATACTATATGCCTGTATACCTTATGCAGTACAGGTACACAATTGCCTAGTTTACTGCCTAAAAGTGCTACTTTCCTAGGTTTATTAGGTAGTAGAAGAGCTAGGATGCTGTAAACGCTACATCTAGGCGCACTATAATTGCAGTGTATAGTGTTAATCCTACGCGCTCTTAGTATTTTTTAATTTTTTGCTTTATTACTAATCCCTAGTTACTTATAAGCTCTTCTAATAGTAAAAAAGTCCCTAAAAAGAGTGTGCTTTTTATAAAGTTAAACTTCTTTACTACTTTTTTAATATATATGTTATATACTAGCTAAATTATTCTAGCTTTTCTATTTTTAATTATTTTAATCTTTAAAAACTATTTATATAGCCTTTAATTTTTTAGCTTATACATTTTTTTAATTACACTAATTAATTAGTAAGCTTCTAACTTATTATTATAGTAATAAATATAAAGTATATTATCTATATAAAAAAGAAGTAAAATATAGTAATTATAGTTAAAAAATAAGCATAGCTTTTTTTTAAATAAAATAAAGTTAAGCTTTTAAAAAGCTTATAAAAGCTTCTAGTACTATAAAATTAGTAAGTTACATAGTCTATATAAAGCTTAAAGAAGTTTAATGCACATGCTAGGCTTTATAAAGCCTTCTAAGAGCTTATATGTTACTTTTAGCTTACTTTTATAGTGCGTGTTTAAAAACACACTTATAACATTATATTACCTAATCTTTAAGTTAAATTAAGCTGCTATTACTATTACTGTTTAAAAGAATCTAGCTGCAAGAGTAGCAGCATAAGTTAACTAAAGTAAGTCCTTACTCTAGAAACTACTGTGTACATAAATATAAGCTTTACATTTAGCAAAATACTTATTCTAGTTAAATTTATATATAAAGACCTACTTTAGTAAGAGCAGCTTAAATATTACTTTAGTTTATATAATCTCTTTTTAAGTGCTTTTTTTAAGCAAAGTAGCTATTTCTTTTTATACTATAATTTTAAAAAAATTTTTATATAAGTATTTATATAAATTTTTTTATTTTAAGAGTTTTTTTAAAAGCTTATAAGCTTTTAGTTAAAGCTACTTAAAAAAAGTAGCTATAAAAAACACTATATAAAGTGTTTTAAGCGCTCTATTATTATAAGTAATAAATGCTTTAAAGAAGTTTATTTAAAAGTGCTCTAGATTAACTAAAGCTAGGCGTATACTGCTTCTTTTTAAGAGTGTTGTATATATACCTCTACTTCCTGCACCCTTAGGCTTACTTAGGTTATTAGAATCTTACCTTTATATTCTTTAGCTTATATATGTGGCTAGTCCTTAGCTTTTTTTATTATATATATGTTTAAAAAGTGCCTTACTTACTTTAACTAAAGCTATAAAAAATAATGTTTTAGCATAAAAAGTAAAAGTTAATTTTTTAACTAGTAAGTTAGCTATTTAACTTAATAAGCTTAGTAGATTTACTTCTCTAGTTAAGTGCACTTACTAAGAATTACTAGTATACTTATGCCTACCTTATATAGGGCGTGTTGTAGAGCTATTTATAAGCTCTAGCTTAGAAGTTAGCTCTAGGGTAATAAGTGCTATATGTTTATTAAGAACTACATAAATTCTTAGTAACTTACTTACTATACTTATTACCTATGTAGTTACTTTTACTTTTAAGTACTAATTCTTTAGCTAGCTAACTTAAGTTTTAATAAGCTTTTTAGTTTTTACACTTTTAAGCTTACACTTTTAAGGCCTTTAATTTAGTATATTACTTTACTACTTATTTAACTTTTAAAGTAAAAGCTTAAAAGCTTTTTCTATATTATAGATTTTACTTTACTTATTAAAAATTTTAATAATTTTTAAAGCTTTTTTTTAAAGAATTAGTTTATTACTTTTATTTTTATAAAAGTGTGTTTTATTAAAAGCTATGTTTTTTATAGTAATTACTTAGTTAAGTAATAAAACTTATATTTTATAAATATTTAAGGCTCTATAGCTTATAAGATATTTTATGTAGCTTTATAAAGTTACTTTAAAGCTTTACTTTTAATGCCTAGCTACTTATTTCTTGTTAAGTAGGTAAGTGTAACAGCTATATACATAGGTCCTGCTTTAATTAGGCCTTAAATTAGCTATAGCACTTTTTACCTACTCTAGCTTATAGTATCTAAAGTAGTTAGTAAACTATGTGTTTAAGACTTTATTTAGTAAGCATAAGTTATATGCGTGCAACAGGCTTATATTATATAGCTATGTTGCTGTGTCTACTACTTCTAGCTAGAGCTTCTTAAGAAGTCCTGCGCTACTTTTTATTTTAATAGACTTTATAATTATTTTTTATTTAGCTTTTTTTATAGCTTTATTTAGCTTATAAGTGTATAGTAAAAAGCTTTTAATATTAATGCTAGATTTTTTTACTTAAAGCTTATACTTTAACTTTCTATGCTAAAGGAGTGTAGTAGTGTTATTATCTTACTATATTTTACTAATCTAGAGCTTATATTAATTAGACACTATGCTTTTAAAGTTTTTTATTACTTTTTAGATTTTTAAAAGTGTTTTTACTTAAAAAGAGTATAAAAAAATTTTACTACTATATTTATTCTTAATAATTATTATCTATAGAGCTCTGCTGCGCCCTAATAGCATATTAAACATATCCTATGTAATTCTTTAGAATAGGTAAGGAGCTTACTTTTTTAGTCTTTTTAATATAACTTACTTAGCGTGTGTTATTATGCAGTGCTTATAGTGTACTTACTTTATACTTATTATTTATATGTTTCTTACGCTTTTAACTAGAGCCTGCAGAGCTTTAGAGCCTAGGTGTCCTGCGCGCGTATGCTAGAGCTTTTCTAAGTCTAAGTATAAAAATATAGTTTATAAGTGTTAGTAATTTAAAAGCACACTTTACACTAGTAAGTAAAAAAAAACAGCTTTATATTTAATAAACATAAAGTTATATTTTTAGTAAAGTGTTACTAGTACTTTATTCTTTTCTAGTGTGCTTATGCATAGTGTATAGTTAAGTTTTAAATACTATAGTCCTTTTTTTTTTAAATAAGCTTTTAAAATAATATTAATATAAAATTCTTTTACTATAACTACTTTTTATAGTGTAAGATTTTTTATGTGCTTTTTTTATGCTTTATTTAACACTTTTTTAAGCTTTCTAGTTTTTATTTTTTAAATTAAGAATAACTAGGTACTAGCTTTTATTATGTATAAACTTTAAGCTTTTTTAAATAACCTAAGTATAAGTAGCTTTATACTATTTACTAAGTGTGTAGCACTTTTATTATCTAGAATTATGCTTATAAAAAGTAGGTAAGTGTTAAAATTTATAGTTATATACATTTTTAGTTTTACTAAGAGCGCTAGGTTAATAAGTGTAGTAATAATACTTTTTAAAAATGCTAGCTTATCTAATTTTTTAATAGCTTTTAGAGTAAAAAAAGCTACATCTAGAATTATATAGCTTTTTTTAAGTAGTATAGCTTTTACTTTTTTATACTACACTTACTTAAGCTTTTTAAAGATCTTTTAACATATAGTTTTACTAAGCTTTTTTAGCTTTTTAGTAACTGCTAATATAAAGTCTCTACAGTTTACTGCTTTTTATAAATAAAAAGATTACCTTAGAGCTTTATATAAGCATAAGTAGCCTAATTAAGCTAAAATAAATTAGGCTAAATTATTATCTAATTATTTACTAAGTGTTATAAATATACCTATGCCTTAGTTACTTACATGTAGGAAGTACTTTTAAAGCATTATTAAGAAGATCTTACTAATTTTTTAAATTATTAAAAGTTTTTTACTAAGTGCACTAGCTTCTATAACCCTTTAGTGCATAAAGCGCGCCTAGTCTAGTGCAAGCTTTAGAGCTAGGGTGTCTAGGAAGTCTTATACAGCTAGCTAGCCTTCTACATTAAGAATCTTATAGGTCTTTGCCTTAGTGTATAGAAAGTGCTACTGCTAGTACTAAGCTTTTAAAGTTATAGTGCTATGCTTTACCTTAGTAAAGTAAGCTTTATACTTTACTTATATAAAATTCTT